GAAGTCACCGCCAGAATTAGCATGGAATAAACTTGACAAAGAGTGAAACCTTTTCATCCAAAAAATGAAAAATAACTCTTAAAGTCATAGAAAAAAACAATGGAATCAATTATCAAACTTATACTTTCAAAAACTTTTGCAATAAAATATGCTGCAGTAATCAAGGCTAAAGGAGGATATTTTGAAAGAGCAAAATTTAATCAGAAAATGCTTTTTTCTATTTTTTTCATAATAAAATTTGTAATAAAAAAGTCATTTCTCACTTTTTTCTCTTATTTAAAGTACAAAACAAGTGCTTTTAGGGCCAATTTAAAAAAATTACCAGTGATTCTCTCAAACTTTTGAACTTTAGTGTGTATATATATATATATATATATTACTAAATTTCACTCAATTAAAGGCTCAAGAGGCACTCATGGTAGGGGTTTAGTGAATGAGATGTTAGATTTGAATGCAAGGCGGATAGAGATGGCTATTATTCCCTGACTCGAAGAGGTAAAGATTGTAGCGTTCAGGGAACCATCCACGCTGGAATCTGTTTCACAAAGTAACAGTTCTCAAGAAATTTCTCCTTACAAATGGAATACAGAGTGAATGTAGGTGATTTGACTACGTGAACGTTGCATACGAGTCCTAGCTGCAAAGGTCTGAGTTGGTGGAACTAAAGACTGGAGCTCATATGATGGGCACTGAAGTCGTCGAACACAGTTATTTGCAGATGAGTGTAGAGAGAGGGCTTCGTCTATACTATTCTGAAATTTTATCTAGCAAGCAACAGTCGTGAGAGGAAGGGGAGCAATAAAGGAAGAAGTAATACCTGAGTTTAGTAGTGAAAGTCTGAGACACGTGTAAGAACAGTCCGGAGATTCAAAAGATAGTTTCTTTGGTACTGGAAGATGTTCGCGAACTTCGACATCAAGGTCATATAGGCACTAGATTCCGAAAGAAAGGAAGATCGCCAGGGAAATAGAATTCACTGCAAGATATTGATGAATTCCGATTAGTTTCACAAAGAACTAGGATGTCTGGTTAGTGTTCCAAGAGCAACGATTCCAGACCGCAGAAATTGGTACGAATACGAAGAATGTTGAAGAAAAATGGTTGAAGTGTTTAAGCATTTTGGCGAGCTGGTTTGCTAGAGAAATAGCGATAGTCTTGCAACGTTGTGCCTGAGAGAAAGGAGTTGATAATAAGTCTACCAGAGGCCAGATATGTCAGCAATAATCCATTTTCTGTCTAATCCGACTCTTGTAAAGATGAGGGAAAACAAAAGGAGTCAGGTATTTACTGGAACGATAGAATCAACCGGCCATCTTTAGTAAAGAATAGTACGTATGCATTCCACTTCAGGTCTGGTGTGAATATATGTTATTTTTTATACTAATATTCGCCAAATCCTAGACTTAAGAGCCACTAAAAGTACATATTACTTGGTGTACGGTGAGCGTAAGAAAAAGCAATAAGTGCAGTTATGAATGAAAAATAAGAAAAAGGTTATGAATGAAAGTTAACGGATTGCTTCCATTACCTCTTTTTTAAGAGGCGTAGCATTGTTTCTTTTATTAAATTATTCAAAATAAAATGTCTTTCTTCAATTTATTTATCCTTTTTTCCCACGCATTTCATCTTCATTGATCTTCTATCTGTAAATATCACTTTCTTCTTCTTCTTCTTCTTCTTCTTCTTCTAATTTTCCTTCTTCTTCTTTTTCTTGTTCTTGTTCTTGTTCTTGTTCTTCTTCTTCTAATTTTCCTTCTTCTTCTTCTTTTTCTTGTTCTTCTTGTTCTTCTTCTTCTAATTTTCCTTCTTGTTCTTGTTCTTCCTCTTCTTCTTCTTCTAATTTTCCTTCTTCTTGTTGTTCTTCTTCTTCTAATTTTCCTTCTTCTTCTTGTTCTTGTTCTTCTTGTTCTTCTTCTTCTTCAACATCATACTGTGAGTCTGATCTGAGTAAAGCTTACTTCTTACTAATGGAATGAGGATTATTCCTCCTTTTGTAAATGTCATGGCGAGTCCGAGCGGCAAAGTTCTTGGCTGGTGGAACAAAGAAAGATAGCTAGTCAGAAAACTTTCCATGGAAATAGCGATAGGGTAGCCAGAAGGTTGCAACCTTTTGTCTGTGGAAAATTGTATAACTAGAGTTGTAGGCAATAGTTTTTGACTGAGAAATTCATGAATTTCTTATAAGAGTATATCTTTGCAAGGCGTAGATCATGGTCTGTGTGAATATTTATGACAATGCAGATGAAGGGTTCAAATTCTACTGAAGTTTTGATTAATGCAAATTATTTCATATACAACAAAAAACAAAAGGCTCGTAAAATATTTCAAAAGAGAAGAGTAGACTATTCTGACATGTCCAACAAATACAAATATATTATTCTACGTACCAACTTTATCACAATTATAACTGAAAATAACTTATATAAGCTTTAACATGAACTGTATAACAACTACTTCTAAAATAATAAAAGAATACAAAGGAAAATAGTAAATAAGCTAAAATTTGACAGAATTAATTTACTCTATAAGGAGTAATAATTGTCACAAAGAATACATAGAAAACTCGAGCGATTTAAATAAAAGGTTATATTAACACAAAAGGGATCTTTTACTCCACAACACGGTCACTACATTAGCTGCACACCATAATGAGTCTGATCAAAATTTCGATTTAAAAAAAATGCTACTTTAATTAAAAAAAGAAAGCAATTTACTAAGACGAAAGTTTGTAGAAAGTGCTTTAATAGCTAGATAATAAACACAAAATTTGCGTCCAGTTTTTTACTTTGTTGGCAAGTCTTCTATTATCAAAATGGGGAATACTTAATAAGAAAATGTTAAAAATGTAAACAATAAGAAAAGAAACTAAATGAAATTGACTAGACTACATATCCAAGCACGTATTTTTTTTAAAATTAAATTTCAAAGTTTAAAATTTCATCCTCTTCTCTCTTTCGTGCGCATGCGTAGTTACATTAACGTAAAACTGCTTCCCCTACAGAGAGGCACGCAAGTTCGATGTCTGCTGATTAACGCATTTTTCTTCACTAATAATTCTCAAATGTGCAGGACGATAGACATGATATACACTGTTTGATAAGTGGAAAATGGAGCGTCTATTTCATATATATATGAACATTGAGGTCAATACACAGCGGCGACAATCTGTTTCATGTTTAAGCACAATCGTCAGGCCATCGATTGCTTTTAAGCAGGAAACAGCAATACATATTCGTTTAATGTTGTTATATGTTTATAAAAATATATTTTTGATACACCATATAGATATATATATATATATATATATATATATATATATATAACGAATGGTCGCCTAAACGTATAAGTGCATAGTCCATATTTGTATTTCTTCGTCTGTTTGCATAATATCTTGATCTACATGTTGAAGTCCAATGTATTTTGAGCAAAGAATCAGTTGTGAATATGCAAAACGATGCAAAAGCTATCGCTAGTAATAGAAAAAAATAGAAAACAAAGATAGACAAATTTCAGGACACATATCAAATATTAGAATTTAAAGGATACCTGAATATGACAACTTTGTTCGGTGCCTAACGCCAGTTTTAATAGTTTGACATGACGCGGACACAGTGTTTCTCAGTAAATGATTTTGTTTAGGAATAGATTCATTATTTTTCTAAGGTCCTTTCAATTTAAATTCATTTATCAATTCGTCTTCTTTTTTTTTAAATTTTCTTTGATTTTATTTTCACTTTAATTATTTTACTTTCTTGAAACCCGGAATCTTATGCAATCTCATATATCTGTGACGAAGACTTTCAAATAATGGTTCGCACTACAAATTTGTTGCAATGTGACAGCACTTCAAGTCATAATATTTCTACTGAAGAAAAATTGTTTTATTATGGGAAAAGAACTCTCTCGATTTTATTGAAAGCTTATATATTTTAGAACTCGAGTTTTTTTTTTTTGGGGGGGTAACCTAAAACTAATTATAGATTTTTATGGAATAGAAATTATTGGAGACTCTTAATTTTAAATTTCATCCATTATTCAGCTGTTACTTAAAGCACTTGAAGAATTGAATTTTGATATAAACACCAAAAATTTGAAATTAGGATGACGACTTTAAATGAATAATTAAACATTCTTATAAGAATAAGTTAAGAATAACTTGAATGGTTGTCATTCACAAAAATCTAGAAAAAATGAAATCTGATACAACTGAGCTCTATGCCCAATACAATACTTGTGAGACCACCACATTCTACACACTTTCCTTCTAAGCACTTCTATAAAAAAGAGAAGCGAACGATAACATTATAACGTAGTGTGCATGCGTGGCAGACAGAGTCAATCTGTGACAAGTGGCTTCATTCTGTGTAGTTTAGTTCCGTTACCATAGCAACAAACCCGATACTTTTTTGATTAAGCCTCGTTCTTCAAATTCTATTTTTCTCCTGTTTTTACCAAATAACAAAAACCACATCATTTAAGGGCTTTCAACAACAGAAACAACTAAAATGGGATGCACATGTAACTTGAAAAGAAAATGACGCTGAGTTACAAATATACGAAGTTCAAATATGTTCATCATGATACCCAATCCGAATAGACTATAACAAGCGCAGGTATCACAGACAAATGTGCGCAATACGGTGACAGAATTTGATAAAACCAGCGCAGGTGGGTCTCAGATATACCTTAATGTCGAGTGACTCGGTCCACTCAGACGGACTTTGATTAAGTGTAATTCCAAATAGCTACATGTGACGCCTAAGTCGTCTCAGCTGGCTCATCCTTCAAACTATTGAAAAAATAAAATTTAGAACCCCAACCCTCTCGAGATCCGGCCATGATGCCCTCGTCCCTGCTACTCTCGTGGCACAGAGTTGTGTGATCTTTCAGACGGCATAGGTATTGATGCTGTCTGGGATCTGTTCTTTTTACTTCTTCAAATGTCCTAGAGATTCATAATATTTCCGGGTGTGTTTATTTCCGGGTTGACTGCAATGTCGATGAGCGTACACTTCTTTTCTGTTCTTGAAAACATTATCAGGCTTGTCGGCTTTCAGCTCTATGTCAGTGTTGGAGGAAATGTAACATTGTTGCCCTCTCTGACCGTGCTCACTTCTCAATCGTTTTTATCCTGCAAATCCTACGGATATTCCAATGCATTGATCCTGCTATGTTGTGTCTGTGATTATTATTATTTGTAGTAGTAGTATTTAAAGATATTATTAGACGTACAAACTTTAACTAATGCTATAAAACAGACATATAATAAGAACAAGAGGGAATTAGAAAGAATAACAAAAACAGAAACAACAGCCACAGTATTTTCCTGTAATATGAAAAGAAAAGAAACTTTATAAAATCAGTTGACTAGTTTTCGCGCCTCTCTGATCAGTGCTCGATCGACTAATTAAATTACTGTACAAGCCGACTAAAAAGCAAGAGGTGAAAAAGTGAAAATAAGATGAACGCAATTTTCAATAAGATATTGATATATATATATATATATATATATATATATATATATATATATATATATATATATATATATATATATGTGTGTGTGTGTGTGTGTGTGTGTGTAATACTAGTATAATATATTATAATATAAACTGATATATATATAATATACTTATAAACAGATCCCACGGTAACACAATAACAATTCCTGTTGTTTGCCCAAATATGATTGTCTCGATTTAACATAAATCGTCTAAAGAACTTTTGACTGACAGTCGGGATTTGATCTACCCAACACTGGGAACATATGCTCAAGGAATGACGATGCGCATTGCCTATTTTTAACGAGATGTTCTGAGATTGAAAATCCGCTCATACAAATTTTCAAGTCAAACTTTTTTAATGCACGCTGTCACATGTTGAGCAATTCTCGTCTTTAGTAGCTACCTATGTTGCCCGCGTAACAGTAATAAATTACGAAACTTGTTTGAGAAATAGGTAGATTATAATTGATTTCAACATAGACGTAAATGAGAATAGGTTACGGGAATTGATTTCAAAATAACATTTTCTAATACTGGTAGAGATAGTATTTTCAGTAAATCTCACGCCAACCTCTCCAATTCAAGGTAATCTTAAATATACAGGAAAAATTTCGGGCTTACACTTTTTGATACATGCAATTATTATTATTGAGATACAACGACGAAGTGAGGCTGGGATACAAATATGCAAAACACAGTGCACCCATCCTGACAGTAAGCCTGATAAGGGTATACCAGGAACATGCATCACTGCCATATCTGCGTTATATGCTGACAGGTTTTGATAAAAGCAGCGAATAACCTGGCAGATGGAAGCCAGTTACCAACACTTTCAAGTAGGGTAAGGCAATACGTTTTATGTTGAGGTTGTTCCCAAATATCTGTATGTGAGTTCTATATCACTTTCAGTATCATCTCATGCTTTATCTTTTAACTTTGATCCCGACCTTCCTGAACAATTTTAACCATTCTGCCTGAGCTCCTGATTCAAAAACCGCAAATAATTGGTATGTAATGTTTCACTGTAGATGTAAAAATACTTACAAAATATATAAGTATTATATTTAGCAGGGAGAGAGAATGATTGCATACTTTTACTTTGTCACCCAAATTATTTCTTTGTGTGACAGTCTACCCAACAGGTGAGTCAGTCGTTCACCTCTGAACCGACTGTTCGGTTTAACTCTCTTCCTACGGGCGGGAGGAACCCGAAGGAGGCTACGCCGAAGGGCGGAGTCTCCTTCGGGGAGGTAAAACCGGCCCTGAACCCGTTTATACGGGTTCAAATGGGCTATTTTTTGACCGAGCCTAATGGCTCGGGAATGCCCACGTTAAAAAGGCCTTGTGCCACATCATGACACCCTCGTGGGTGGGGGGGGAATGACTGAATATTGTCTACCCAACAGGTGCTGCTTCACTTGATGCACAACAAAAGCAAAACACGACGCAAGTGTTTACCCACCGTTCATCCGGTGGCTGGGCAATAAGTCATTTTTCTCTACCATCGGTAAAGCAGTTGTCAGGGCTCAAAGGATTAAACTTAAAAAAAAAGGTGTCCAAGTTTCTTCTCATTATTATTATAATTAATTACCAATTGATTTCTAATACCCTTATTTACTGGTGACTTTCATTGAAGATTAAGTAACAATATATTTTCTCAATGCAGCATCTATCAGCATCCTGTTTTCCGTAATGCTGTCATCTGAATGGTTTCTAGTTTTCTTGCTTTTTAGGCTCTTCGAAGCCAGTTGCAGTATTCCTATAACTACTGGTACAACGATCATATTCATGTTCCCTAACATTCTTAGGTCTTTGGAAAGGTCAAGATACTTATCTATATTCCAAACTTCTTTCAGATCTACTTCCCATGGTCTTACAGAGCAGTGAAAGCCACTTTCTGACAATTGTTCTTTTTTTTTTTTACAGCGACAAGATCAGGTCTTTTGGTCTGGCTTCGGTGATATTTTGCTTACTGTCAGTCTTGTTTCCTCTTCGAGTCTCTTAGTTTCAGTGTCTCCCCAATCTTTCCTCTGTATAGAGTACTACTCTTCTTTTTTTTCCTTTAAATTTACAGCCTGCCCTCCATCCTCCCCATTTTCAATCTTCTCATTCACTTTCACTCCCTGTAACCCCCTGCGTTTCATTGGTATTTTCGCCTTTTGGGGGATGAAACGATTAAAAACATAATCACATATCTGTTGTCTTAAGTCACGTCTTGATCTAAGAGAAACAAATTCTACTAGACTCCTATGAAGGCGAGCATATTATAACAGTTCAGTACTCTTTTATTTGTTTCTAAACATCAGTTCAAATAAAAGAGCATAAGGGGTCGTAAATATTCAATCGATAGTTTATAAGCCTCAGTGTGTCGTCTCACCTAAAATGTCTTTCAGAATAAGCTTTTGATAGGCTACCAAATTCGCTAGCTTTTTGTTTATATTCAAAGTAAATAAATCTATATACATTCACTCCGTTTGTCGCTTACTGTGAACTCACATGTTTGAGCGCACAATATACCTTTTTGTGTTTATCAGATGTAAATATAAAACATTTTCAGTCATCTTAGATCAGTAAATCTGTAGTTTTATTGCAATGACTAGTTTTTATTGATTGACTTATTCGTTTTCTACAGCTGACCAAACCCTGCAGGTGGCTCAAAACCAGAAACTATTTTTAGATTGTAAGAATTTTTTCTTTTTTCCGTAATGGTTTACTGATACATGTCTTATTAATTAACCCATATCTGCCGGAACAAGTGTTGGATTCAGACCTTTCACAACGGTATTTGTGCGTAAATGAATATAACGAAATTAACAGGAATTGGAACTCGGTTCTTATATTAAAAATTCTGCACCATCATCCATTACATCAGCTGTATATCCAAACTTACAGCACCTGGCATTTTCTCGTGTTCACCCATTTAGGTACTGTACATGCTCGACATTGCTTAACTTTGGTGATTGTAAGACAGTAATGTCTAGGAGTGGTTTTAAAAACTAAACTTAATTTATATGAGAACTTTTAATACTTTAGTTTTTTTTTAAAAGTATTTCATATTGCATATATTTCTTTCTTCTACGTACGCAATATACTATTACAAATAATCTAATGACTGGTTTGCTTTTTACGGTTTTATCAAACTTTTGCAGGTTATTTAAAGCTAGAAAATATTTTAACGATTTTGTCCATTTTCAAGACAAGTCGCTACTAGTTACTTTTGAAGTCATCTTTGAACGGTCAGATGTCAGTTTACCTGGAAAGAAACGATTAATAAGCGTTGAAATTAATGCATGCAAGATTCCACATCACTGCTTTTCAGAACCCCTCGTGCGATTATATATCCATTTCTAAGTGTAATTCATTCATGACCGTCTCAAAAGTATCCTGTGAAGAAATTTATGTTTAACATTAATAATGCATACTCTTTTGACAAAGATAATAAGCATAGTAACTTTAATCATATTTTTGTTTCTTTTTCAGACATCACACCGAAGATAAGAGGTCTAGATTTCCCCTCGGAACACCAGAGCTAAACTCAGCAAAGACGGTTTATTTTGTGCCTGAAGTAGACTAACAAATATCTTGATGGATTACTTTTCATATAACTGCCGTTTGATTGCTGCCCAAATTTAGAATATAACCAAAGTTGTTCTTCTTTACCAAACCCTTTTTGCTTCCACCTTTTTTTTTTCCATCCATCTCACTTCGTCTGACCGGATGACTTGTTGAGTTATTCCTAATATTAAACGGTTGGCCATGTAGCTCAACCTGTAAAATAATCTCATACAGAAGGATCCAACACTAACTGCGTTCTTTCTAAACGGGAGCGGATTATTTTTATCACAATATCAGGAAAGAATCATCAACAATTTATTGAGGACTTCACAGAAATAAGAAGCACTTTAATCTGTCTCACACAATTTTAATCTAAGAATTACACGATAACGTGTTTGTTCATGAGGAAAAATAACAAAAGATATCGATTACGAATTTTCTTTTATATTTTAAAGAAGATCTAATTAGATAACACCAACAAACGAATCTAATGAATTAGCAATGAAAACCGAAAACATCCAAATCACACAAAAAGTGTATTTTTTTATATATTCGTTAATATATCAAAATCTTCAGTTATAGAAAGTTTTATCAATACTAAATTTGAAGAAAATCAGAGCCAAAATAAGGTGTGTCATTTTTAAAAGAATTAACTTTAATATACAAAAGATATACGGAAAAAAAGATTATTGAAAGCACTTTTGGGGGGGTTGTTCTACTAAAGACAACTATGTGTAAGTAACCTACTTGACATGGTTCTATCAAAATTCCATCATAGGTGTCATTGAATTTTTATTATTGTCTTAACTGCATACGTGTGTTTGTGTAATACAACATTGTTTGCATCAATTCATTAACTTTGACGTGCATATTTCATTGGAAAAGACAAGTTTCTTACAACAAGGAAAATTATCCAGCCTTCAGAGTTTTGTTCATAACATGCTCTCGCTTTCTATTCACTGAAATAATTTTGTGATCTTAAATTATTTACTTATGCTAGAAACTAGAAACTCGAAACATCATTTTTTTAATTAAATCTCGCGTCAGTATTTCATATGAGAGACTTCTGAGGGATAGGATAATTATGAAGAAAACCTGTGATAATTCTGTTTGAATGTGAGTAAGATTAAAATAAAACAGATTCTGTTTGAGAAACTGTCCACAGACAGACGCTTCTATTTTCCCGTTATACTTTGAACGTGATCAAAAGCAAAATAAATCAGGCTTTTTTTGCCCGAGAGGCTGCCTGGAGACAGAAGCCTTCAGTTTCAACGATGGAGCATGTGCACTTACATCCAATGCACTGAAAGCACCTAAATGTATATATCATAATCCTCGGACAATTAAGCCTTTTATGTCATTTGTTAATTTGCTTTAATTTGTAAAAATTATGTGGGGAAACAAGTATGAAATTCAATAATTTAACCACAAAATACTTATTATCTTTTAAATTTTAATTTCTAAAAGTTATTTTTTCTGTTGTTTAAGTAGTTCTACATTTCTACCATTGTTGCAATTATAATTACTTACAGTGTTAATAGTAAAGTTTAATAATTGTAGTTTAGTTTGCTTTACAGATTCAACACTGATCATTATGGTCCATATTCATTAATATTAATCAATATCTATGTGTTATCTTTTTTTAAATTATCGACTTTCTATCATTAGTTTAAAGTGATATTTATATTTATTTTACTTGACTTAAAATCATAACATTAATTAATCTCACTTAACTCTAATTTACAGAGATATTCTCGTTCTTGGAACAGAGGTTAAACGCAGGCTACATAAAATTCTTTTTGAATATTTTTTCCAAAAAACTGGTTCCATAACTGAAACCGATTCTACAAAATTCTGTGATACATTGATTTATTTTTAAATTTTTGTTTTTACAGCAAGTATTTGTTTATCAAAACCTATTTGCACAATCAATGTTAAGTTTGTGCGCTTTTTGTGTAAAAGCAAGAATTGTAAAAGATTTTTAACTATTTATTTTCAAATTAATACTCAGTATATAATTTAAAACTGATGAGCTTAAGCAGACACGATTTATGTGAAATTGAATGAGGGGAATTTCGGTGAGGGATTCAAAAAGAAATAGAGAAGAAAACTGTTTTAATCTCTGCTAATCATTTTAAGATATCTGCTTACCCGACTGGAATGATTAATTCCAACCCTAAGTGTAGATCAAAAGAAGAAACAAAGTTTTGATTAAGAATAAACAGTATTTAATAGATTTTTTTAAAAAATATTACTGACGAGGTGACTCAGCAATTAAAACGTGGCGACATTTCTTTTTAGTCTCTCACGTCAAACACCAGCGATACAAAAGTAAACGAAGGAAAGACAATAATAATGCCGAAGAAAAATAAACTGAAAATTGTATAAGAGTTATATATATGACACATATTCATATATATATATATATATAACAATCAGGAATACGTGCTGACAACAACCTTGCACACACACTTACAAACCCGCACACACGACCTCAAACAAAAAGACAAGCACAACTCACTAAAACATTAAACAATAAAACAAGCACACCTCAATAAACAAAAAGAAAAGCACACCTCACTAAAAAGATCCTCATGGAAAATATATACAAGTATCTAACTTCTTACGCATACCACAAGCAGTTTTAACTGCTTCAAATATACAAACCGATATATATAACGTTTCACAAATATTGAAAGAAAACTTCCTATATACAAATGACCTGATTAACGTATAATTAGGTCGGGAATAGTTAGATATATGGAAATCCAGGTTTAAAATCTCTCTCTCTCTCTCTCTCTCTATATATATATATATATATATATATATATATATATATATATATATATATATATATATATGTATGTATGTATGTATGTATACTTTTGAATAAGGTATTGAATCTGCATTAAATATCTAAGAAAAGAAAAAACGTGCTTGAAGCTAGATAAAATCTATACAGAAGAAATTGGGCATAAAGAATCAAGAAGAAACAGGCAAACCAAGATGTGTCTAGATTTCTTCGGCACGCATTTACAGTCAAGGTATACTTACAAAAACAAATATTTAATTTAGCATCCAAAACAAAACAAAAAAATCAACGTTGGATGAATATAAACATTGCAAAAGCTGAAAAAAAAATGAATATGAAAAATGTTCCGAAAACATACAACAAAATTGATTTACCGTAAAACAGTTTGTAAATAAACCTGCTTTGCATAGATAACGCGTTGTATACAAGCGCGGGAAAAGCGGAGTTCTTTTCTTCATTTCTCCGTAAAATATAATGTCCGTTGCATAGAAATTTATACATAAACATAAACACATGCGACCATATATACATTAATATATACACAACGTAACATCATCGACTCTCGCAGTTACCGTCACAAGATGAGCTACGAAAAATAAAAAAAATTACAACTACCATTCCATGAACTCTGTTATCTGTATAAGTAAACAAACAAATGATATAACGAGTGAAAAACGTGTAACTATTCAGAATAGATTCATGCTTAAAGTAAATTTTACAGGGTTACACTTATTTAAATCAATCAAGAAAGAAATGACAAATTAAATGCCCCATACTTGCAAGGAGACATTTTAATTGATAACAACATTTATACGCAATACAAGATATATTTTCATTATTTTTATTGAATGTAAGAAGAAAATGGATATTAGGAAGAGAGTATTTTTTTTTTATAAATTGTGTATTTCGGGTTTTATAAAAAGAACATGTGAATAAATGCAAAACACATATTTTCTCATCCATCTAAATAGAAAACTCGCCTAATTTAATATTATAATACTACTCATACGGTGCGTACAGAATAAATTTCATGAAAACATCCACAATATACACGCTGGTAAATACATACAAAAGAATAAATTTGTAAATCCGTTCAACAAGCGGATAATTGAATGCGCGCTAATTAAATCAAGACAAGGATTGTATGGCAACAGGTAATGAAAAGTTGAAGGCGTTTACATATGAGCGAAATAGAGTTGTTTTTTTTTAAGTCAGTAATTGGTGTCTGAACGAAAAGAAAAAAGTAATTAAAAAGAGCAATTCGCACTTTTAAGGCTGCATCTTCAGAAAAGAGTGACGTTAAAACAACTGATCAGGTTCTAGTTTGATCGCGCGAACTTTATGAACAGTTGAACGACTTGTTTTCCCTTAGTGTTGGGAAACAGGATTTAGAGTAAACGTGTACACATACAAACCAACATACGCACACAAATACACACACTTTTTTTTAAAAGTCAAGGTTACAATGAAATGACCTGAAAAGAAAAGACATTTTAAAAATACCAAAGAAATGCTGCTCGGTACCCGGCCGATTCGGTTAAAGGATAATCTCTGTGGCTAATCTCTAGGTGCGATATTCTGTCATATATAAAGCATTATATTTATTTTCAAATCTAAAATTGCTGATCCTCACATAACAGCCCAAAAAAAGTTTTTATCTCTTTTTTTACTTATTTTTGTTGAAAAAAATACAAAATATATTACTAATACTAAAAATAATTTCCTAATTCACAACTATAATTCATATAGATATATTTCAACTCTGACATCTCATTTAACATAAATTGTTGTGTAGCTTCAGGTCAATAAGAAAATTAGTAAAAGATTTCATTATTGATAAAAGATTTCAGCAATATTCATTATTTAGTATATATTTTTTAAAGAAGAAAATTCTGATTTCATCTTGATCATTATAAAATCATTGAAAGGTTTTGCTTTTCAGCATGAGTATGGATAACGAAACCGATATTTCAGACGCCACGGCACACCGTATTCTCACTGATGTTGTTCTACCTACGGCATGCATCTGTGGGATTATTGGCATCATTGTAACAGTGATTATCCTTAGCCGGAAGCACATGAGCACTTCAACCAATAACTATCTGATTGGACTCGCTACTGCTGACCTGATTTTCCTTACCATCATGTCACTTCGATTGTGGGGTATTATGGTGTCGGAATATCACATCAATACTTGGCTAATCTTCATTGCCTATTCGGAAATCTTCCTCAAGATGTTCAATCTGACCTCCGTGTGGATCACCGTTGTGTTGGCAATGGAACGCTTCATCGCCATTTGCTACCCTTATAGGGCGATGCTAATGTGTACAGTTCGACGGGCTCGTTGGATTGTTCTCAGTATCTACGTTGCCTCATTTCTGTGCCAGCTGCCACAGTTCCTCAAATACAAAATTGTCTCGTCAACCAATGAATTCAACCAGATTAGCTACAACCTTCACATGACATCGGTGAGCAATAATAAACTCTACATGATCATATACGCTTGGGTATTGGAGGGTTTGCTCGGTGTAATACTCCCGTTTCTACTGATTCTCGGACTTAATACTCGACTGATTTACGAGATTCATAAGTCAACCAAATACCTGCAGAGACAGATTGGTGCCACTTGCCGCGCGAGCTGCGCCATCACCTCAGAACAACTCAAAATAACGACCATGCTGATTGGTATGTGCGTGGTCTTTCTTGTTTGTCAAGCTCCCTATGTTGTCTACAATTATCTCATGAGTGTGAAATTGACTATGTTTCAGGGTTCCAGATTCTACCTTGTCTTTATGTCTATTTCTGTGCTGCTGGCTGCTCTTAAATCTGCAGTCAATTTCATTCTTTATTGTTGGTTTAGTGAAAAGTTTTGGATTACCTTCAAACGGATATTTTGTCTGCGGTACTGTCAAAGTAGGGAACCATCACAAAACTACAACAATTGTACGGCTAAAAACACGGCTCAAAGAAGCAATTCCCTTCTTATGTCAAAAGAAACGACCATTTAGAAATGCAATATTCTTTGGCATAAAACAAAACAAAGATTCGTATAACATGTTGACTAATTATTGTGGCTACATAGTATGAACTCAATGTAAAGAAATTTATCTATAATACAATTAAAATATTAATTTTATGAACTCGAAAAGAAAATTGAGTGATTGATGGCAGTAAAATGCTCCGTTAAATATATATTTGACTAATGAGTTTTATAATCTATGTTAACACACACGCAGATATATATTTGTATACATCGAAATATGCATATATATTTTCGTGTGATGTGTATTTATAAATATATATATATATATATATATATATATATATATATATATATATATATGTATATATATATATGTATGTGTGTGTATATATATATATATATATATATATATATATACACATATATTTGTGTATATATGTGTGTCTGTATATAGGTATATCTGTGCGTATGTGTGTATATATATATGTGTGTGTGTGTGTGTGTGTGTGTAATTGCAATAAAAGTACAGAATAAAATAGAACCAAAGATACTAAGTTTCACCCTCGAAAAGATCATCAGGCCAGGTTTATTTTTTTTTTTTTGCTTTTTGCTACCAACATCACTGTCGTAGCATCCAATCAACTACCATTATATATATATATATATATATATATATATATATATATATATATATATATATATATATATATAGTGAGCACAACAACGCGAATGTATATTTATGTGTATCGGAATTATGGAGCACGTTGCGATAAGAAGTAAAAAATCCTACATTTGCAAAAGCTCACTCTTATGTATGTATGTATGTATGTATGTATGTATGTATGTATGTATGTATCTATGTATGTATGTATGTATGTAGATAATTATTGAACATTGTTTAGTTACGCAGAAAATAACTATAGTGGAGTTCCACTTAGGCTTGAATGTATGCAAATATGTATGTCTGTATGTATGGATTGGTTATTTATAACGGTAACTGGTAATAGACACACAGTTATGTATACATGTAATATATGTGAGTTCGCATATGTGTAAAATAGTGAAAATGTATTTTATGGAAAATTTGTATATATTATCTGATAGGCATATTTATATACGTTTTCACACATATAAACATATATACAAAACACACACACACACACACATATATATATATATATATATATATATATATATATATATATATATATATATATATATATATATATATATCTTGTTTAACTACCAAGGTTATGCATACGTTTGTAAGTATGTAAGCAACCATGGAAAAACGGATACGTACAACTTTTTCATGTAAATATATATATGCGTATATGTATGCATGTATGTAGCTATTAATGTCTGCAAGCGTACGTTTGCTGTTTTTCTGGAAGTGGAATGGAATCAGTGATTGCACAAACCCTGAATCTATTATAAAATTGTGTGGATGGTTCAGTTATAAGAAATTACTAATGGATAGATCAGAAATTTAGTATAGAAAATAAGGAAATTGAACATAGAATAGGCTGTGCTAGAGAGAGTTTCGCCCAACGCTGCAAATTGCTACAAAACCAAAACATTAACTTGAAAACTCGATTCGTGTTCTTCAATAACCTTCTCAGATTGAGGCTTTCATATGGATTTTATACTGACCTGGCTTGTGATTGGTAGTTTCAAAATAATTTTAAGCTCATGCCTCTCCTTCAAGAGGTGGGGTGTAACTGGAGTCATTACCCGGCCCCTGAAAGGTCCCCAAAAGTGGAAGTGCCGTAGGGAGCATGAGCAATTTTTCCACTTTAAATCTTGACCTTCTGTCACATAGCGAAAAAAACACTGGGAAAAATATCAATTATACATGGCGCCAAACACATTCACAATTATTTACACTCCTGTATACATTCACTTTCTAAGATCAATGGTTAAAATTGCTTTGAGCAAGTTTAGGCCAGAAGGTCTTGGCGAAGATCATCCTTTTTTTAACTTTGTGGAATGACACTCTCAGAATCACGAACAAAAAAAAAATAGACTATTGACATTCAACACTAATTCAAACAAAAGGTTAGGAAAGAAACCTCTTAACACTGGTAAGAGCAATAACATTTACTGGACGTGAGAAACGAATTTTCCTGAAAAATTGTTTTAATAAAGATATTTCATAAAGTTCAATCGACATTAGTAATGGTTGCTCGGTCAATGAATGCCAAATGTTTCCTTATAAGGAAACTGATAATATTAACATTATAATTAACATTATACTGAAATACATCACCATTACGATTAACATCTTACACTAAAATGCACTGCGTTAATTCCATAGATAATAGAAAATGTAATATGATTGGATTCTTAGAAAATAATAGCTTGTTATAACTTCCATTTTTTTATTTCTCGTAGTCGAGTGGAGTTCAAAATAATCGGTTAACCCTAAGCTATTTTCCAGCGGCAAAGAGGCATTTCACGAAGTATTATTTGCGATGGAGTGACTCTGATTCCCACCAAGTTAGAATGTAAGGCGATTATTTTTATTTAATCAATATGGCCATTGTAATAAAATATTGTTTACCTTGTATAATTTCTAATTTGTATATTATATATATATATATATATATATATATATATATATATATATATATTTATAATATTTTTTGTTTTTGGTAAGAAAAAATAATTCTCGCATTAGAGAAAGACACTTCCCTTTTTGTCGGGAGTACCTGGATGCAAATGTTTTGTATAAATAATGTAGACCAAACAAACAAAGAATGTATCGGACAAGAAATTAATGACTGAACTAAATATTTGAATATTGATTTTTGTTAAATGTTGACCCTGTATATGAACAAAATAATTTAAATATCTAAAGGAATAAGGTACAACAACAACAACAACAATACTACTACTAATAATAATAATAAGAATAATAATAAGAAGAAGAATATGTGATATATAATATCAATGTAATATATTAGGCTGGATTATTTTTTATTTTTTTTAGAAAGATTTTCAGTGAAAAATGTCATGATGGCATTTCTGATTTTAGGTCTCTTCTTGGGACCCGGGAAGAAATGTGTATATACACATGAGAAAGTAAAGTAAGAAAATCTTTAAAAAAATAATAATAATCCTATTATAAGCATGCCTGTCACTCCCTTCGTTAGTCGCACGACCGTTATGCCCTGCCATTACCTCATAAATAATGGACTATTCCGTTTTGATCGCGTGGAAAGAGGTGAAAAGATAATACTTGGAGAAATAGAAATAAAAAAAAGGAAGAGAGAAAGAAAGAAGAGGAGATAGAAGTGAATAACGGCCTGTTTCAGTGAAATGGAAAAAGTTGTTAATTTCAAATCTTCTCATTTGTACCCACTTCTTAAAATAACAAACAGCATTCATATTTATGATTGTTATTGCAATATGTTACAGTTGTTAAGCTCAAATATTTAACGATGTGATAGGGGGATTTCTACGGATATTTACTGCCGTAGAACTCGCCATGAGCTTATTCAAGCATTAACTTAAGAATTAAGATTCATCAGAATATTAACAGAGGAAAACCGTAAAATTTTCACGGGTTAAAACTACTACTACTACTAATAATAATAATAATAATAATAATAATAATAATAGGCTTAATTGTTAAAGGCTTGAACAATGGTTTTCAACCTTTTTGCTGGAGCGGAACCACAAGGAAACATTCCAGTCGCTCGAGGAACCCCTGAATTAAAAATTACTGTCAATCATAGTACTTGTGTAACTTCTTGCGGAACCCCTGGGCTTTACTGGCGGGACGCTAGGGTTCTGTGGAACCCTGGTTGAAAACCACTGGGCTAGAATTTCATCAGGAAAATTGTACTGATTGAATTTATTAAATCACACATGTTTATTATTATTTGAATGCGTTAAGTTTCCTTTATTATTGATTTTGTGTCGCAACACCAAAGTTTTTTTTTTTCACTAACACTTATCAAATGTAAAGATGATCAGTAGATTGTGATAGAAAAAGCAAAAACAATAGTAATTTGATGAAAAATTAAACTACTTCAAATACTGAAGACGTTGTTAGATATGACATTTCGATACTTGAATCTGTCATGTTCAGAACATGAGGGCACTTCAGGTTTACATTGACAAACGAAAAAATGCGACTATTTCATGAATATTTCCATCTTTATTCACAACTTTCTCTCCGAGTGACAACGTCCAGGACAAAGTTTATTGAAGTACATTTTTTTTTATAATCTGTCTCACACGCATAAGTATATGTTGAGTTATATCTACGCGGAAATTCTAATCTGAGTAAAATCCAAATATTATTTTGTTTGAAGCTAGCGTTACGGAACACCAGTGATAGGTGATAGAAAGTATTCGGGTAAATTTTGCAATACATCAATCCAAGAAAATATATTTTACAATTGAAGCAATTAGAGAAGCGGAAACATTTAGCAAATAAGCAGTATTCAAAAGATATATTTATATTTGTATACGTAAGTCGGTATATATATATATATATATATATATATATATATATATATATATATATATATATATATATATATATATATTACATTCAAGCGTGTGAGTGTGTAGCCAGAAACTTGTGTTCAATCATGAAACAGACTAGAACCACCCGATATTGGCCGACTCAGAAAAATCATTGTACTCCAAACTGATTTAAAATAAAATCCCTCTTAAAATATATTTCAGACGAATAGAATATAAAACAAAAAGATGCATTTATAACATAAACTTTTAATAATAATAGTATTTTGAAGTCAATTACATTAAAATCTCTCGAGAATCATTCAAAGTAATTTTAAGAAATTCGCCCATTGAATACTAAAATTCTTTTGACTGATTTCTTTCATCTTTATAATTGGTTTGCCGCATAAGTCGAGACATTTAATAAAGGGGAGTTAAATCCCGTCCGTCATCAAAAATGAATTCACTATCCGTAGTCCTTGAAACCTATCTACCGCGGATAACGACGTCCTACTGTATTTATGTTTTGGTAGGTATTTTCAGTGAGTA